CATATTTATTTAGAAATGCAGCCACCGTGGTAAAAGCAGACTTACTGTTTAATTATTTTTCTAGCCACAAAATCTTCTCCACCTTGAATAAGCACTGGCACGGAAGGGAATTTTCTGCTCACTGCTGATAGTTTCAGCACACTGCAGCTTGGGCTTAGGGTTCTTTAGAACCAGCATTGTTCCACCATTTACAAAGGCAAAGCAATTGCATAGAAAGATATGTGTAATTATATAATGTATCATAATAATACCAGTACATCAAAAATAAAAAGCAGACAGGTGTTTAGCATTGCCAAACTTAAACTACGTGGAAGAACCAAAAATGCGGATATTTGTGTTCAAGGCCTAAATAGATATATTTTTCAAATTATCTAATTGGAGACTTTTTAATTTCTTCCTGCTGTTTCAGCTAGAAGGACTTAAACCTTCATCCTTACACGATGTGTCATAGGAATAGCAGCACGGGGGCTTTGTCCTGAACTCAAGCCAGCCCATCGCGTGGCCAAAATACCTCAGGAAATCAGGGCAAGTTTTTCCTCAAGAGAAGAACCCGTGACCTTTCCCAGTGAAAGTCTTGGCTGCTCCGGGGGTGTTTGCACAGCAGACAAAGAAAGAGCATCTTCTTAAAAAGCAAAGCCGGTTGGCAGGAAATCAAACACTGATTCAAGGCATCGGAGTCAGGCAGGAGCCCGGAACATCCCAGCGGTGTGAGGGGGACCAAGGGCTGCAGCTGAGCCTCTTGCTCAATTCAGGCTGGAGAGAAAGCAAATACAGGGGTTTAAGTTGCAAATTTTGTCCGAGTTGAAGCTGTATTTAAGCACACAGGGGGCTGAGGCTGCTGCGTACATCCCTGAACAAGAGCAGGGCAGGATCTGGAACAGTCTTTGAGGCTGTGTCCGTACACTGGTGAGAGACAAGGAGTAAAAGAAGAGTTTTCAGGTTGTTTTTTTGTAGGCCAAGTGGAAAATTGCCTGGGTTTCTGGGTAAAACATTTTGGTTTTGTTTTCTTTTGTTGGAGGAGTATCTCCCTTAAGTCCTGGCTGCAGCAGTAGGATCAGCCTTTCCCATTTGTTCCCTTTATTGCTTGCTTGTGTCTTTATTTCTAATATTTATTTTTTAAAATAAAATCGCCTATTAAAGCTGAACTTGGAAAGGTCAAAAGCAGGTTTGCTTGCAGGAGCAGATACCTATGAATGTGTGTGTGTAGGCAGGACTGTACCTGCCTCTGGGTTCTCTGAGAGTCTCCCCTGCATCTCTACAAGTTGCAAACATCTTGAAAGTGGTATTTTTTCTTTTGTGTCCCAGTTGATTTCAGAAACGCAGTGAAAGACACAGATCCAAACTAAATAAGATTAAAGGCTTTAAAAGCTTAATAAATTAAGAAGAGCAAATCTAGCTGATAACATGGCTTTGATAGTAGGCTATAAAGGGCAGGGAGTTAAGGAATTACAGGTAAGTGACTGTTCATCAGCATCCCTTCCTCCTCAGCAGCGTGGGGGCACGAGGGAACAGGTTGGACTCTCCAGCTTATCAGCAGGACAGGAGCAACAGAAGACAAAGTAGAGGGGATAGAAAAGATTTGAGGGACTAGAATTTAAACAAGCACCCCCAGCCCGTGCTGCACCAGCTCGGAGTGTCCTGCTGGCATCGACACCTGCCAGTGACACTGTCCTGCCAGAGCCACTGAAATGCAGGTGGGATGGTTTGAACCCCCAAGGAGAAACTGTTTTGAGTTGTTTTATAAGACTATTTTCCTGTCCTGCAGTGGGGTCCGTCAGGCAATGTTCCACTCCAGCTCAGGTACAGCTTCTCTCTCTGGTGAAGTTTTCATACTGTCATGACCCTGAGCATGTCCAAACCTCTCCTTGCTCCCTGTGTGTGAGCTGTGACAGGGCCCTGCAAGCTGAAGAACATTCTCTCTGCCTTTCTTATCTTTCCCAGCTGTACAAATGAACGATGGCCCAACAGAGAGCTTTGGCTTGGGTTGTTTGCCTGGCTAGCAGTTGTTTCACATGGTTATTTGCTGTTCCAGTTTCACTCAGATCAGCAGAAATGGGGTTTACTTCAGGAGGGAAAATTCTGCCACAACTCTTCTGATTCTAGTACTGCAATAAATGATGTAATTTAAAGAATGAAAGGTAAAAATGTTCTATGGGCTATAGAAGCAAAAGGAGCAGAGGGAATCCTGGTTTTAATAGGAATAGTCAAGAAGAAGAAAAATTTGTCCTCCCTGATGGAAAGGTCCTGTCAGCTTTGAATGGGCTGAAACCTGTGCCACAATCTGTGAAATTTCTCTTTACAACCAATACCTCTGGAAAGTAATGGGCTTCCTCAATAGAATAGTGTGAATCATTGTAAGGAACACTACAGCAAGGATATTACTCTGCAGAAACTTGGCAGCACAGAGAAAGATGGCATTTCCTTGTTCAACAAGAGGGATCCAGCGAGACTCAGTATGTGGGGAAAGATAAATCAGGGCAAACCCTGACCCTGCCTTCTCTGAGCAGGACTGGAGGGACCAGCACTGAAGGCTACCCTGACATTCTTCACATCCCAACCCCAAATCAAGGCCAGCTTAGCCCAAACATCATCCCTGTTTACCTACAAATCTCTGCAGCATTCAGTGGGTAAGCTGTGCACACAGACCTGTAGTGTAATGAGTGAAATGGTTGTTTATCAATTTGTTTTTAACCAATATTTCCTTAATTATGCTAAGTTCCTGAGGGAACAAGGACAAACCCAAGGTAACTTCAGGCTGCATTTCCAACAGCTGGATTACAGCAGAGACTCACTGCCTGCCTGCCACTGATACAGTGTTGGAGTTTCATCAGGAGCGTTTGCCTGTAACCAACACATTTTACAGAAAATTGCCTTTTTTTTTTTCTTTTTATACAGCCCAAATGGCAAATGTTCATTTCTGAGAAGAAAAAGCTTCTCCAGACCCTGATTCTGCAGTAGAAAAACTCCAGAAGTAGCAGGAGTAGTAGAGGGTCTATCTTTATACTGATTTTCGGAGCCTGAGGGCAACAGGCAAAGCAGAGCAGGGTATTACCAGAGCAGAACACCCTCATTGTGTCCCCTTAGCAGAGTGACAGCCACAGCTCTGACTCCTATGGCACATCCTCCCACATCCAGGTAATGCACAAAGCCAATTAAATTCGTGATTGGATGAAGTGGTCACAGGCAAATGGCCCGTTGCCAGCCAGTCAGGATGCAAAACTGACAAATATCGTAAAGGTATGTGCCTTAATCCCCTCCTGAGGGATTAAGTGTTTAACCTATTACTCGTGTTTCTGATGAGACACAGCAAAGCTGCTGTGCTGGGTGGGGGGAGCAGCGCTTGCCCCAGCCCAGCCCTGCAGCCTCGTGCTTGGCCATAGAATCTCCAGGTGGTTCAGATGGATCAGGGCAGGGCAGTGTGTGTGGCTTCAAGAGGAAAACTGTTTGGCAGAAGAGAGAGATTTGGCGACTGCATCCGTTCCCTCCCAGTTCTCTGTCCCTGTTTGCTTGTGGAGGTGTTGGAGAGGGAAAGCTGCTTACCCCTGCCCTGATTGATCACCCCTGACCAGCCTGCCAGAGAGTTCTTTGAAGTACAGATTTTTATTGAACTTCTAAGGCAGTGTTGAGAATTGCAATACCTTCCTAGCCCAGGAGAGGTGTGATTTCCCCACTGATCCAGGAAGGAGGAGGAATAATGGCCATTTAGTAGATGAGGCTTCTGTCATCAGGTGGCCTGAGTGACACCTGCAACCACTCACATCCTTAAATGCTTTAAGCCATCACACAAGCTCTGGTGCTTAGTTCCCAGCCAGGAAAAGGTGTCACGTAGCTGATTACACACAGCTGACTAGGATTACCCATGGTTAATGTCTAATTAGAAGTTAAATTGATATTGACTATCGACAGTAAATTGTAATGATTTCTTTAGGTGAAAATAAATATGAAATGTCATAATGCAATCCCAGTGTTCTAGTATGATAATTAAACACGCTTTGAAATCTTATCCTGACAGGGAAATCTCCTGCTGTGCCTTGGCACTAGCAAAGACAGGTCGATGGAGGGGGTTACACTGTGTTAGTGAAAACAAGCAAAGAGACCTCTCTGTTTAAGGCTGGGCGCTGGGGAAAAACCTTCTGGCACAGTTTTTCCCCCTCCACTCACTGTTTCTCCTGTAGATACAGTGTTTAAAGGCTGTGAGGATGTAAGGCCAGCATACAATTCCATGTTTATTGTGCTCTTTCAGCTGCATTTACAGAACAGCAGCTCAGAGCTGGGGGACCAGATGTTGCCTGATACACAGGTGATGGCTACAGGTAAAAGTGCATCTTTATGCAAATGTGGTTTGAAAATCTGCCCCAGCACTTGAACAGTAATGGAGTTTTATTTCTAGGACAGAGTTCTGGCCTTGAACCGTGTCATTAGTGCTGGAGAGGAACACAACCTGTCCTAGAAAACTGATGTGTTTGCAGAATTTCTTTACTGGTGGCAGCATTTTCTTAGGGGTGAAACTGGAGGAGAGAGTTTCTTCCTCTCTCTTACTTTGATGGATGTGTGCTGGAAAGCAGAAACATGAGGGGTGTCAGGAATGATGGAGTGATGCTGAAGGCTCTGACAAACAAGCTCCTGAAAGTTATTTTTGTATTTTTGTGAATGTGAATATTTCACGTATAAGATGTTACCACCCTGCTGCTCACCTATGTCCTCTGCCAGAGGCACCTCCCCAAAGTGCACACACCAGAGGAAAGTCCCCCACAGCCCCTGGAGCTTTCTGATCTGCATTAGTTTGGCCATCAGAGAGGTGGGATGAGCACAAAGAGGAAGGGGGATGTGTAGACGAGTGTTGTGTCCTACTGACGGGGTTCATAGGCAGCAAATTGCTTTGGGAACGGAGTCCCACCTTCAGCTGCTGCACAGATTTGCTCAGGGAGCACATCAAAACCTTGAGAATAACCACCGTGGGTCCAGAAACCGTAACTCTCCTTTTTCCTTCTCCCTTCCAGCTTGCTGCATTAGAGAGGCAAGTGTTCGACTTCCTGGGATACCAGTGGGCTCCTATCCTGGCCAACTTCCTCCACATCATCATCGTTATCCTGGGCCTCTTTGGCACCATCCAGTACAGGCCTCGCTACATCGTGGTGGTGAGTGAAGTGACACCCTCTTGCTCTGGGCACTGAGAGCCTTTCACAGTCTCTGCTCTGGTGGGGACGTGGCACGGGGTGAGGAACTGAGTAAAGCCCTCGGGAAATCAGGTACAAGCCCTGCAAACTGTTCTAGCAGGAGGTGCCTGGCTGTGCTTGGGAAGACAATGCTCGGTGTGCTGTGCTTGTGCCAGCCTTGGAAGGTTTCAGATCATTGTTGCAGATGCTGAGGTAACACCCAGACACTGCACAGCCGAGAGGGAGAGTGAGGTGCTGGACAAATGCCTGTCAGAAGCGTTTCCATCCCTCCAAACTCCCGCCCCTGTGACTCTTTCAGACAACAGATCATCTGCATATCAGAAACCAACAGAGGAAGAGAAAACTATTGCAGTGCTGACTCAGGGCATGCAACTGCCCCCAGCTAGAGCACATCTATGTACACTAATTCCACTGACTTCCTAATTTTTATTGCTTCTCTCTCCCCAACCTCATTCCCTTCCAGTACGCCATCTGGACTGCAATTTGGGTCACCTGGAACATCTTCATCATCTGCTTTTACTTAGAAGTGGGAGGGCTCTCAAAGGTGAGTGGGAATTGGGTGGGTGAGTTCCCAGCTTTTTCAGTGAAGGGGATGGAGTTTGTGGGGAGGGGAGGGGCAGGGACTGCCTGTGAGCAGGTTCTAATTCTGCCCTCTTGCCTGTGGAGGGGTTTGCTTTGCCAGGGGGTGGAGGAGTACTGCTTGTTGTATGGAAAAATGTGGAGCCAGTACTGATTTCTGGGGATTTCAGGGATGTGGCTTCCCTGCCTCAGTTCTTCCTTCTTAAATACAGTGGTAGTTATTCATGGCTGTTGGCCAGGGTGCTGTGAGTTAATATGTGAAGCTCTTTGAAGACTAGATTAGCAGAGTGTTGCTGTCTGCTTAATGAGGGGTGAGTCAGAAATAATAAAAATGGGAGGCAGCTCCTAAATTAAGCCTGGACTGTGAGCAATGAATTAAGAAGTGTTGCTGTAGCACAGCAGACTGAGAGTCGTTGTAGGATCTGGGTTCATTTCAGAGTGCTCTGCATCTGGCCTAAATTCCCAGGTCATACATTGAAGTTGCAGTCATAACTGGAACTGCCCTGTGGTTTTTATCAGGCCTACAGCAAGTCAGGAGTGACGGCACAAATCTTTTGCAGATAAGAAAATGTAGCTTCCTAATTTCTCAGTTCATCTTTATTTCCCCTCTCAGTTATCCCCAGAAACTTTGAGGGAGTTCTTGCCCAAAAAACAATGATTACTCGTGGTCTGAAGTCTCTGCCCAAGATGATCTCGATGTTGGTTGCGATGAACAACAAAAAAAAAGAATTTTATGTAATTATTATGAAATTATGAAATGCTCCCTTCTGTGGAGGAAATATTGGCTTGGTGAACTGCACTGGGAACTTCTCTGACAGCCACTGTTTGCCTCCAACCAGCTGGTTACTTGTGTTTGCCAATCCCAACCTGCCCTGCACCACGTCAGGCTGCTGTTGTGCAATTCAAACAACACAGATTCCTCTTTCTCCCCTGCCGAGGAGCTTCACCTGGTAACCTTGCTCTGGGCTGGGGCTCGTTTTAGCCAAGCCAGCACACAGAGAGGCTTTATTTAGCCTGCAGGATGACACTTGTGACTGGGAGACTTTTTTTATAGGATTGGGCTGCAGTGTAAGTTGTTACTGACTCAGTGGATTTCCCTCTAGGGCTGCACTGAGAAATTAGTTAATTTAGTGGCAAATAGCAAAACCAACAGAGTATTTGTGCTTGTTTGGCAGTAAAATACTTGACAGCCTTGCTTCTGTTCTTAATGAGTTGTTTTCACTTTAAAAAAAAGCTGTTTTGTAAGAAAAACTCATGATGTTGCTTTCTGTCCTCCTTCTCCCCCTTAACTGAAGTAATTTGGGTCTTTGTAGTGGCAAAACAAATCCTCACTTCCACAAGAGACCAAAAGATGCACCCGAAGCAGGGGCTGAGGTTTCTGTAGCACAGTGATGCTTTGCAGGCTGGCCCAGGAGTGGTGTTGACTCTCCTGCTGCATCTCTGGAAACCTGATCCAAAGCCAGCTGGCATCTTACTGATCTCAGTCTTGGGATCAGACCCCAGATCTGGGCTTGGATGCAGTGCTGCAAGGAGCAGGTTCCTCTGTGTGCCCTCGGGAGGAAGCTGCCCTTTAGCTCCTGATAAGAAGTCAAAGTCAAAGCTCATCATTAGCCTGGCAGTAAGCAGGGAAATTGCAAATATTGGAAAAAGAGCTTTGCTGGAGTGAGGCTGATGGAGCTGGTCTGATAAACACTAGCTCATTAACTACTAGACAAAGCACGAATACACAGGAGAGTGTTTCAGACAGAGTTGTGCTCCTGTGCAAGTGCCTTAAGGGACTGATAGCTCTGAGGAAGATCTTCAGGGTTCTGTTTCCTCTGCGATTCCCAGTGAGCCTGGGGGAGTGGGAGCAGCTCCTGCCAGCCCTGCACTCACCCCGCTGTGCTCCTGACAAGGGCAGCCTGCCAGGGCAGGCTCTGTCAGCAGCTCATGGAGAATGACAGAATGCAGGAAGGGCAGGGAGATGGAAAGAAGGGAGTTTGTTAACTTTGGGGGCTGGTAATGACAGCCCAGTGCAACTGAGACAGATGATAACTCAGGTGGGGTGAGAAAGGGAAGAAAGGATACAAGTGTTTCTGATCTGAAAAGTTTAGAAAAAGCCCAGAGAACTGGGAAGATGAGGAAACAGTTATGTGCACTTCTTGCATATTAAAATCCCTAGTTATAATATCCTGAGTTTTTTTATGGAAAAGGAAAGTACTTTTTCCTGCTCTGTGGATCTATTCCATACTTCTTGGAAGAGCTAATCTGGCCTGATTTCTATCTTTCTATCTTGTCTTTTTTTTTTTTTCCCTTGCAGTCTTTTCGTAGCAGGAATAAAAGTATGAAATATGGCACAGCAGAACTTCATTAGGTGGCCAGACACAAGTGGATCAGCACAAGTGCCTAAGGAAGCACTTCCCTTGATGCTATAAGGGCCTCCCTAAGCATGTAGCCTGTGCCAGCTTTCCTGTAAGTGCCTTGCCAATGAGCAGGCGAGTGACAGAGCAATCTGGATTTGGAGGGATGCTTCTCAGCACTGGCAGCGAGGTGGTGATGTGTCTCTGAGCAGCTTTTGGCAGCACTGCCGTGCTGACTTGCTCTGCTCTTGCCTCTGAGCACACTTGCAGCATGTGGGGGAAATGCAGCATCTCTGAGTGCTGGTGAGGCTCACAGCTGAATTTCCAGATTGCTGTTCCTCCTCCTGTGGTCTGCTCCTGCTCCATCTCCCTCTCTTCTCTTTGTCCATCTGGCCATTTGATTTGGTGAATTGCTGGGAGATAGCTCTGAAGTTTCTAGGCTGTGCTTGAAATAATACCTTAAGCTTCTCCCTGTCTGCCCGAGCGTGAAACACATCCCTCCTGCAAAACCCCTCAGTCTGAGTTAATTATTAAAATCCTGCTGTTAAGACGTATGAGCATCTGCCTGTCCAGCTGCCATGCTGACTGACTCTTCATCATGTACTTGAGAAATGTTCAGAGAGGTTTGAGGAATTGGAGTTGTGTCTTTCAATGTATTCCTTTGTGTTTTCCCTCTGGAATTATTCATCTTGAACGGCGATTGCTAATTTATTTTTTTTTTTTATCCTTCCTTTATATTCTCTCTAGTCTACACAGTGCTTTGATCTGAATCCAGAGCTGTGGTGGTCTAAATCTCCTCTTGAAGTGGAAGCAGCCCTTATTAGTCAAATGGGAGCTATTTGTATTTCAGAGAATCTGGACAGCATCTTGGGATGACTTTGTACCTGGGGAAGATACCGTGAGGAGGATGGATAAATGCATGTGTACTTACAACTGTCCCTCAACTCCCTCTAAATTTAGAACCTTGGAGCCTGGGATTTGGCCTTTAAATGCTGTGACATTCTCAACAAGCCTCCTGAGAGACACTGGAAGTGCTTCTTTGTCTCTCAGGGTGATACAGCGACTTGGCACACAGGACTGAAAGATGAACATCGCATTTCTTATTCTAATAAGAAATGTTTCCATCTAAAAAGATTTAGGATGATTCTGCTGTCAAGCTCTGGGGCTCCCATGCGAGGTTCAGTTTGTTCCAGAGCTGTTATAGTGCTGCCTTGCCTGATAATTAAGGAAATTTGGGGGAGGCGGTTCAGAAGGCTGTTAACAGCAAGAAATAAAACCATCTCAGATAGTGTCCCTTAGCAAATAATTTCAGAACAGCTTTCAGAAAGCTATTTTAGAAAAGAAACGCATCTGGCTCTGTGGGTGTTGGAGGTAGGTGTGAGTTTCCTGTGGGACACAGTGGGGTGAGGCTGGGAGAGGAAAATGGGCTCTGTAAAATGTAGGTACTGCTGGTTTAGTGCTGTTGTTTTCCTTCTCGCTCTGATGGCAAACGGATGGCAGCCAGGTGCTACAACAGTTCAGATCAAGCTTTGATTTTTTTTGGCTGGCCTTCAGCATGCTCCTGAGAAGGAGCTTGTGTCACTCTTGGCTCATATTTCTCTCCAGGCTGAAGGTTAAAGAGGCAGCGATAGCCCTGGAAAGAAACGAGGGGGAGTGCAGTCACACACAGCTCCCTCTCTGCGGCAGGGCTCGCTCACTGCTGGGGCTGATTAACCTCTTCCAACCCACATGCATTTCTGGGAGTATTTTGGGGTGTTTAGATCTCAAGTGCATTGCAGAAAGGTTTTGGGAAGTGGCCGTTCCCGGGACTTTCTTACAGCTGGTTCTTCTCTCCTGATTTCAGTGTGCTGCTCTATTCCATAGTTTCACTTCTCTCCAACCATCTTCTCACAAACGAAGCTGGCAAACCACAGGAGGCATCCTGGGATTGTTTTCCTACTCTCCCAGCGAGCACTGAGCGACTGGAGGTCAATTGAGGGGTTTTCCTGAGCGCTTTTTTATTGTGCCCCATCACGCAGGTACCTTCCCAGGGCATCCAGCCAGGGACACAAGGAAAGGAACAGCCCTGCTTTGCATGTTGAGACCCTCTTGTTCGTGCTGCCCTCCTGCCCTGCTGTGCTCCAGACAGATGCTGGTTCAGAAAGGTGTCTCTGAACACAGAGACATCCATGATCCCAGTGTGCAATCAGTATTCATTTTACATCTGTGAGATGGATGGCTCATGAGTGCGAGTCATGGTGGTGCCTTTAGAATCCAAATGTGCTCAGTTATTTTTTCTTTTTCTTTTTTTTTTTTTTTTTTTTTTTTTTTTT